CACCCCATGGGGGTTGTGCTTTTTTTTTTTTTTTTTTTTTTTTTTCCCCTTTCTTTTTTTTTTAAACAGAGCAGAGCTTTTGAGTGATCCAGCAGTCTAAAGTTTGACCTATGTGTCTGAACTTGACCCAAACATAATTTTTCTAAATTTCTGTCTGATCCCAGCCCAAACTGACAGGTCCTGTAGGGGTCCACACTCTATATCACTGTCACCAGTTAAGCTTGTATTTGAGGGCTGAAACTGTTGATTAGCTTCTTGATTAATGGTTTATTGTATGAAATTGTATTAATTTGTAAAAAATGTCCATCAGAATATCTCAGAGCCAAGAGTCTGAGCAACAGCCATTAGCGTGGCAGTATTTTTATGAAGAGTTTTTAAGACTGATAGATAAGCATGCACCGTTCCGCTCTTTTAGAGTGAAGGGGTGTGATAACCCTTGGTTTTCGTTGGAAATTGGTAACCTCCTTAAGGAAAGAGATATTGCCTGGGCTCAGGCCAGAAAGAGTGGAACTGAAGGAGATTGGCTTCGTTTTAGACAGCTACGAAATAAATGTACACTTTTGGTAAGGAGGTCAAAGTCTGAGTTTTATCTTGCTGAAATATCAAAGAGTATAAATGATCCTAAGATGTTTTGGAGGACTGTAAAATCTACTATGAACTTGATACCAACAAATGAGTTGCCATGTTTTTTGGTTAAAGCGGGTGTACATTTGACTGATAAATTAGTCATGTTGGACCATTTCAATGAACATTTCATTTCAGCTGGATGTTTATCTGACTCTTTGGACCCTGAAGTATCTGGTTTACTTTTAAAAACAGAAGCTTCTGAAATGAGTAGTCATTCTACTCTTAATACTTTTTCTTTTACTTCTGTGTCTATTTCTGAGGTTCATAGTGCATTAAGTAATTTGGATACTAGAAAAGCAGCTGGGCCTGATGGACTGGATCCTTTTTTCTTAAAATTGGCTGCAGACTGTATAGCTGAATCACTGTCTTATGTTTTTAACTAAAGTCTTAGTAGTAACGAAATTCCATTGATTTGGAAATCAGCTTTTGTTCTTCCCTGTTTAAAGGAAGGAGATCCGTCGGAAGTTAATAATTATAGGCCAATTTCTAAACTGTGTGTTTTAGCAAAAATCCTAGAAAAAATAGTGAGTGACCAACTTAAGGGGTTTTTAGAATCAAATCACATATTGTCCCCATTTCAATCTGGTTTTAGAAAACAGCACAGTACTGTTACTGCCACATTAAAATTTTTAAATGATGTGTTACAGGCATTGGATTGCAAAAAACATTGTGTAGCTTTATTTATTAACCTCTCTAAGGCTTTTGATACTGTTGATCATGTATTACTGATTAACTTGTTGTTAAGGATTGGCTTGTCAGAGGGAGCGATCCCTTGGTTTAGGAATTATCTTTCAAATAGGAGGCAACCTGTCCAATTGGGATGGGAGGCTCTTCCTCGTCTTTTTTAGAAATATTAAAAGGGGTGCCGCAAGGCTCGGTCCTTGGACCAATTTTATTTTCTATTTATATTAACAATGTGTGCGACAATCTTACAAATGCTATGTATCACTTTTATGCGGATGAATCAACAGATACTCTGTCAATAACAACAGATCTGGGAGTGTTGATTGAGCTGGTTTCCAGCTATAAGTACTTAGGTTTTTTACTTGATTCTGAGTTGTCTTTTAAAACCCACATTGCTAATGTGGTTCGAAAATTACAAGTGAAGATTGGATTCTTTTATCGTAATAAATCCTGCTTTTCCTTGCAAGCACGCAAATATTTAATATCAGCGACCTTTCTTCCCCTGTTGGATTATGGTGATGTACTGTATATGAATGCCTCAGCTAGATGTCTCCATTCTTTAAATGTAGTTTACCACAGTGCCTTGAGGTTTGTGACGGGTTGTAGTCGACTAACGCACCATTGCAACCTGTATGTTAAAGCACGGTGGTCGTCTCTGATCATGCGAAGACATGTTCATTGGATGGTGCTAGTGTTCAAGGCTTTGGTAGGCCTAGCTCCGGCATACTTATGCTCTCTTTTACGTAGATCGGATACCAAATATGCCTTACGGTCTTGTGATAAGTATCAGCTCATGGTGCCGAGAGTTTGGACCGAAAAAGGTTAACGGGCTTTTGGATTTGCCGCTCCCTCTTCGTGGAATAGTTTCCAAGCAGATTTTAAACTTACTGAATTATGCTCAGTTAAAGCTTTTTATTCCCTTATGGCTCTTAGGCAACAGGACTCTATTGGTCAGTGTAGGTTTTTTTTTAAATTGGTTGTATTGTTGATTATTGTATTTATGGTTTTGATTGTTTAAATGTTTAATGGTTTTGATTTGTATTGAAATTTATGTATTGACGACGTGTTGTTGACCTCTTGGCCAGGTCACCCTTGTAAAAGAGATCGTGATCTCAATGGGTTTTTTTTACCTGGTTAAATAAAGAGAAGTAAAGTAAAGTAAAGTAACAACAGTCCAGAACCGAAAGACCTTCAGTTTATTATTGCACAAGACAGAAATGCACAAATCCTCAACTTGCCATCAAGCTCTGGGCCACAAAAAACTAATATAAATGATTATCAAATAAGTTTTCTGTCAGTTGAATAACAGATATAATGCATTTAGTTCTACTGCATTTATAAATTTGCATGAAATAAGAGGGGACTTATTGCCTAAGATGTATGGCTCAACTTCTACAGCTGTTTTAAATGCCTTGAATTTTGGACAAGAAATCTTTTATAAAACCTGATTTCTCTGATGTTATTTTGCAGAGACAACATGCTATATGGCCAGCAACCTGTACGAATGTCTCCAGTTGCTCCGTCCTTCAAGCCCCGCAGTAGCACCCTGGTCTCCCACATTAATGGCCACAGCAGTGCCCTAGGAGGGAGCAGTGGGCCTACTGAGGACCTGACACGCAGCTTAAACAGAGACAGAGACCGGGAACGAGACCGAGATGGGGACAAGAGGCCGCTGCCAACAGTGTCCTCACGGGTACTTCCTCTTGGATCTTCATCTTTAGTAGCAGACAGGGATAGACCACGGTCTTCCTCATCTTCTGTGCTCACTACTCCTCCACCCTCCAGTCGCTCAGCCCCATCTCCTTTGGACATTTACTCCCGTCCACTGGCCCCAACAGCACATAGTCTCCACAGCGAACCCTCACACTCCCAAAAAGATGGCAGCCTCCCTGCTTCCTCTGCAGCTTCTGTCTCTGTTACTTCTTTGTCTCAGACAAAAAAGTCTGATCGGACCACAACACCAGTCTCCAAACCTCCCCTGATTCTCGCACCAGTTAAAGTTAAAGAGGAGCGAAAAGAGGAGCCAGAGCATATCCCCATCACCCTGCCTCCTCCCGCACCCAACCACAGCTTTGACCGCCCTGGCAGCCATCCACACCACCCCAGTTCTGGTACCCCTTCCTCCTCTTTATCTCTGACTCCCACTCCTGGTGTTCCACTCCCACCACCCACTCCAAACCCCCCTACCCACCAACATCTTTCCCTGCTGGAGCGCTCAAGAGCTATTGAAGCATACCTGGGGAGCACAGCAGGCCCTGCAGGGTTGGTCATGGGTCCAGGAGAACGTCTCCCCCATGGTCCAGCCCAGGTCCCGTCACAGGGTCCACATAGCTTCACTTGGGACCCCTGGAGGGAACTGGCAGCTCAGCAGCAGCAGCAGCATCAGCATCGTAGGGATGCTTTGGCACTTCGGTCAGACCCTCACCTAGCCCTGCAGTCAGATCCACATCTCGCCCGGCTGCTCCAGTATCAGCAGCGCCTTCTGGAGGCAGAGAGGGCTGCGGCTGTAGCAGCTGTCGCAGCAGCAGCCTCCCCTCACCACCCTTCTACTTCTACCTCTACTGCCTCCACCTCTGCTGTGCGCCAGGAGTTTGGCCTAATGGCCCATCATTTCGAGCGCCCACCTCAGCTTGGCCCCCCAGGAGGAGGACTGATCGATGAGGAGCAGCGTGCCCAGATCCTGAGGGAAGACTTTGAGCGGGCTCGCAACTTTGGGATGCACCCGCACCTCCCCCATGGCTATCACCTCTCAAGCCCCTCTCATGCTGCTACCGCCGCTCACCTAGAGCAGCTCCATCCTGGCCTTCTGTCCCATCCGCTGCCCCCAGGAGCCTCTGCTGCTTCTCAGCACCATGCGGGCCTCTACTCCCGTCTAGGTCCACTGAACCCACACCATGTGCCCAATGGCATCCTGGCAAAGACCCCTGCAGGCTTGGTGGGAGCTCTGTCAGTGGGGGCACCACCTCCACTCATTCCATCTGTCACCAGCCGGTCATCCACACCTCCCCGCCGACTTGCAGGGCCAGGTGAGCTGGCACTGTACAGCGCCCACAAAGATGGAGAGTCCAGATAGTACAGGGACTACACTGGAGGAGATGAAGGGAAATGTCAGGATCACTGTGCTGCTCTCAACCTGCCCTGTTTTCCTCTTGAAGACTACTAAACCCTGCCCTTCCAGTTACACAATCAAACCAGCTCCAGCTCTCCCTGTGCATCCTTGGTGTATTTTTATTTTATACTAACTGTTGGTTATTACAGCACTCACTCTCAAAAGCTGTAAGAAGAGGCAGAGGACAGCTTTTTCATTTGTCAGGTGAATCATAATCGATACTCTTAAGCAAGCCTTGTCTGGGTGGATTGGAAATGACTTCCAGTGGGATGTGCACGTCATCCTTGGCTTGGTTTAACTCATGGGATATTATAACACCCTCCACTTCTTAAATCAACCCTGATTAGGTTATGTGAATGAGGGTTTTTAGAAATACAATGGTAAAGTGTTTTTTTTTCTGTTCTGTCTTTGTCTTTTTGTCATTGTTAAGGCAGATTGCTGATGAGCCTGTTTAATGATCAGTAAGCATCGTACCTCAGTTCCCTGCTATACCCAAAAATCAAACCCTCAGCTTCACTGATGCAGAGATTTAACCTTTTTTTTGTGCTTGGTTTGTTTTCAAAGGATGAATGGTAAGATGAACTGTGCTACACTGTGTATGTACACAGTGTTTTAGAGCTTCCTGTAACAGTTTCCCAGTCTCCTCTTGATTCTATGAGAAGGACCAGATTATAGTAGTCTAGAGAAATTGCCTTTGTAATTATTATTCTTAACATTAATTATCTTCTATAATAATAAATATATTCACTGTTATGTTATTTGTCATTGTTTCGGGTATCAACCAGTACTCTCTCCCCAATTTCAAATCCTGCAAAAGACAAAGTAAAAGGCTTGCGTCACAGAAAACTTGCTTGTGAACATGAAGCCGTATCCATTGCCGCCCCTGGCCTTTTCAAGGATCTCATTTATGACTTTATTCTGCTGAGAGGGAGGTTTGCCTATGTGTCACTGGTTGTGTGTTATATCCATTTGGGACTGTGGTAGCCTTGTATTGAACTGTAGAGTTGTTCCATCAACAAAAAATAAGTTATATACATGGATATGTGGGACATTGCTGAAGAACTGAAAAAAAATATAAGGACAACTAGACAGAGGGTATCCTGAGAGGGAAAAGACTGGGTCAATTATTTTAATATGACCATTTTATACCTTTCAAACCCCTCCCCTGGAGACCACAAAGATTAATTATTAAATGAATTGTTGTTTACTCTGTTGTGTGGGTCTTTTTGTTCTGAATCTTTAAATATTTAGAATTCAGCTAACAAATATTTTTAGCACGGGTGAGCTTGCAAAACGTCTAGTCTGAACATTGTGAAAAATGTCAAGAGTTTAAGCTATATATTTACAGTCCAAAGTCAAAATTATCTTTAGTTTACTCTGAGGACATTATAAAAACAAGCACATATTTACATTTTTTTAAGCTTTTTGGCATTTTTGCCTAAAAATAGTTTGCTGTCAATCTGCTAATTGTTTCAGCTTTGTTAAATATGGTAAATGGTCATACAGTATAGTGCTTTTTCTGTGCATTGATGCACACTATACTATTTCCCATTCACATACTGGTGTCATGACCCAGATCAACTAGTTCAGTGTCTTGCTAAAGGACACTTTGAGACATGGACTGAAAAGCCAGGGATTGACCTGCTGGTTAGGGAATAACCTGCTCTAACTTCCAAACCACAGCTGCCCCATGACATTTTATATAGTTGAGACAGTTCACCAACAACTTAAGTTGTTACCCTTCAGTTTCTCTTAGGATTAATAAACTATCGTTCACATACTGTAGGTTGAAAGGAAAATCTGAACTTTCCATAGTATTAATATTCCTATAAGGGCTGCATCTAACAACTATTTTAATCATTGGTTATTTTAATTGGATTAAATTTTCCCAATTAATCATTTTTGAAAATTGTGAAAATAATGGTACAATTTTTTTTATCTGACCAAATGTCCAAGAACATGTCCATGTAGCAGGAGTGGTGTAGTGGTTAGCGCTGTCACCTTACAGCAAGAAGGTTCCAGGTTTGAGCCCTGGCCAACCCGGCCTCTCAGTGTAGAGTCTGCATGTTCTCCCTGTGGCTGCGTGGCTTCTGTCCAGGTACTCTGACTTCCTCCCACAGTCCAAAGACATGCAGCTTAGGATGACTCTAAATTGTGTGGGTGTGTGTCTTTGTTTATCTACATGCTAGCCCTGTGATACACTGGTGACCTGTCCAAGGTGGTCCTCACCTGTCATCCAGTGTCAGATGGGATTGGCTCCAGCTCCCCCCACCATAACCCTATTCAGGAGTAAACGGTATAGATGATGAATGGACTATCATGCAACATAAAGAAAAACTTCAAAATCTCTCATTTGAGAAGATGGGACTTGAGGATGGAACTTATAAATAAATTAAAATAGTTGTTTTTGATCAACTAATTGATTCATTTTGTTTCTGCTCTAAATCCTAAACAGGAATGCTCCCTGTTGGCCACACATGTGCTCGGTGTGTGCGTGTGGTTGTGAATGTAAATGCATATATGTGTGCGTGTGTGTGTGTGTGGGTGGAGAGCTGTAACTAATAATTAAAATTATTAACTGAAAGAGCCTACCTTTTAAAGGTTTCCCACATCATGCATTAAATCTTCACATTTGAGAACCATGGAGCCATGTTGATACTTTTTAGTTTTTGCTTAAAAATGAATAAAATAATTGTTTGATAATCAAAATAGTTAACTAGCCGACCAATTATTCCAGGAAGGGATGGAATATAAGGGGGATGAAAACCACTTTTTTTCTCTGAATTTTATCTACCATTAAATGGTCTTGCATATAATGACTCCTGTCCAGGTCCTTTTTACCACAAAAAGAAAAATAAACTTGTAGAATCATCCATATTGAATATTGATATTTGTCACTCGAGAATTACATTAAATTATTACAAAAACTAAGCCGACTGGAATATCTGAATATAGGCTGACAGGTAAAATATGTCTTATGCAATGGTGTTACTGTGAATGATCGTCATGTTAATCTAATTATACAAGCGATTTGTAAAACTCTATGGTTAAGGTGAAATAAACGTTTCAGTTGCAACATTCAATTAAGAGATCTTCTAGCAACAAAGCGAAATACCGATCCATAATTCTACATTAAATAACACAGGTAAATAACGTAACAACTACGAGAAAAATCAACATTTCAAGTGGCGCGCTTGTCGATATCTCGCGAGATTTCATTGTGTTCCTTACTTTGTCAGCAGCAGTGGTCCTCCACCATTTCGCTGCGTAAAGTCTCCTCCCCGCGACCGCTACATTCTGCGCCGAAACCCAGTCTCTCCCGGTCCGTATTTTAACTTCTTCCCACAGACCTAGTGGTACCTCATTGGGTACCGGGAGACAGTTTGGATTACCGGCATTACGGATTGTGTGTGATTTTACGCGGATGACGGCTCCTTCAACGAGAATTTAGTAAAAGAAAATTGGTCGGAAATTTCAGGTAGGTGGGAACTTAAGATGGCGGCTTTGGTAGGGAGGGGGGCAAGGAGGAAGTAATGGGGGACTTGAGGGGGGGCTCAGACTAACGAAAGAACACAATCAGACTGCGTTTCGTGCAGTAATATATTTTCACCGGGTTACGTTGAAATTTATTGACACTACATTGAAACAAATGAGAGTAGTAACATAAAGCAATAACACTGAACAAACTTCTATGTAAAGGGTGCTGAATGAAATATCCCATCATTTCCTTACCGTCGCTTATAAAAAGCCAGCCGTGGGACAGTGTAGGTCCCCCTAAATCCCCCGTGTAATCATTGAAAAATTTATATGGAACTTTGTAACAATGTTACTTGCTTTTTGTATAGTCACTTAGAAATAAATTGTTACTAATGACTAAAATGGAATAAGTTTTACAAATTTATTTTCGTAAGAAGAGATGTGACCCCACGTAGTGACGTCACAAGTGATTGTTCACCCCCCCCCACCCCGTGTAGTGCATGCAGAAGTGGGTTTTAATGCAACTTTTCGTGTGTTTTGTCTCACCGTGTATTAACTTACCAGATATGTCGGTATGAATAAACGGGTTTTGTGAACCTGGAGCATTACATAACTGCGGGACGAGGCGCCTGCGCATCAAATGAACGCACCCTACTACTAACTCTTCTACCTTGCTAGTTAGAAGTAGGCTCTCCCTTTAGTGCCACCCAAGCAGTGTTATTGTGGACGCTAACGTTAGCTAGCAGCCACACTAGCCAAACCGGTGTTGTGTCGAAATCTGTCCGCCACATCGATCTCTGTTTCCCCATTAGCATGACCCGAGCCCACATTCACCTCTGACGTTTTTTTGAGTGGGGAAAACAGACTTAGATTTAACACCGGTAACGTTAGGCGTTAACGTTAACTACTTAATTGTTTGGCTATTATGGAGAGCCGAATTCTGAGCTTGTGGTACCACAGCCACTCTGATAGAAATGAAAGTCTATTCGTATTTCTTATAAACTCAGCCAGTGTACTGAGTAAAGATGCAATTTTCTATACAATATAATTAGCTACAAGATCGCCTGGCTACAGCTAGCCACAGTGAATAACATTTACGTTTACAAGAGCAGAAAATGAATGACCGGAGGGCCGTGCGCTTGGTCACCGGCTTTTAGCTTTTGAGCGCATGCTGCGGAACACCTTCCTGTGGGCGACTGCAGCAAAAGCAACTTAGAGCTAGCTAACGGAGCTGCTGGTCCAGTGCAGCTTCACTGAGTATTTTTTATTAGTGCAGCAAGATGACCCACTCAAACGTGCTGTGATTTTTGTCATCATTGCTGTTGCTAGTGGATACCCGAATTCCCCCCGGGATCAATAAAATATCTATCCATTTATCGATCTACCTACCTATCTAAATACACCAGCTCCAGCTCGGTAACTAGTAGGCTAGCCAGCTCCGTGAGTGTTGTTGGTGCTCTCCTGACATGACAAGACGCTCGTCGTCCCACATATTGTGATCTCTGTTTTAACTTGCATATATAATTAAATTTATTCTCAATTAATTTCTTTTATTGTAAAATACACCTGCACTTTGTTGCAGTGATGGAAGAAGTATCCAAATCCATCGCTTAAGTAAAAGTAAGGGATTTTTAATGTAAGAATACTCTGTTACAAGTTAAAGCCATACCCCTTCATTTTTATGTGAAAGTGTATCTAAGAAGATTGGTTAATTAATCACTTGCAGAAAAATAACTGGCAAGCCTTCTGACACTTGCATTATTATTTTAGCAAAAATAACAAACGCCTGCTGGTTCTAGCTTCTTAAATGTGAGGACTAAGTGCTTTTCTTTTTCACATGTAATAATAAATTTAAATAATTAAAAGATCTGTTGAAATAATTGAACATAAAAGCAGTAAATGCTCACAAAGCTAGAACCTTGACATGTTTTAGGTTTTAATTATTAAGTAAAGACAGATGCTGTGGCTTATTTGATTTTAGTAATAAAGTTATCCATTTCTCTTTTTTGCTTCCTTAGACTATGTGGAGGGGACCCTAATTTCAGCATCCTGGAAGTAGAAAGCACAGAAGATCTGTGTCTCACACCACAGGCAGGTGAGAGTGAGAAATGGTTGCTTCGCTCAAATATCTGAATGTAGCATTCTGTCAAATATTTGGTGATGACTTGCTTATGGACATAGGCGTTGACTATTTTCTAAAAAAAAATATTTTGACCTTGATGTCTGCTGTGCCTTTTGTAAGATACTGATTTGTATGGCTGGTAAGTGGGAAGGGGAATATCATGTACTACACACAGTCATAGCCTACCATATTAGAGAAGTTATTCTTATTTGTACAGTTTTGTCCATGGTCCCTCTCATTTTTCCTTTAGGAAATTACATGCCTTTTCCAGACATTTGTTAACAATCTGTGTCCACCCCCAGGTGCAGTGTGTAGCGGGGGCAGCACAGAGGAAGAGGTGGTGTGGCAGCACACCTCTCCGGCTCCGGCTGTGGATGTGCTGGGTGGCAACCCCCAGGTTGCACAGAATGTGTCTGGGGAGTCGCCGCGGCATGCCCCGCAGCCGGTTGCAGCTGCCCCCCGCGCAGTCCCTCCATGCACCAATTCGTCCACTGTGCCATTGCCGAAGAAAAACGATTCTGCGTTCCTCGGCATGGAGAACACCTCTGAGACTCTCCCAATCAGCAGCCAGTTTAAGGACAGCGTCTCAGAAGAAGTCCTGGCTGGGGAGACCGTTACTGAAGTTGTTGGAGTTGCAACATCCGTCACTGAGGACTGTAGTTCCTCTGCTGAGATGCAAAGGCTTCCAACCTCCCTTTGTCCAACTCTTCCCTCAGATACACAGATTGACAGCACAGTGCAAAAGTTGCAGTACGGGTCACAAACTGATAAAGACAAAAGTCTCTCAAACAGTCAGACAAACCAGATTCAGCAGCTTAGAGAGGGTGCTGGACTTGTGGTTATTACAGGGACAAAGGAGAAACAGTCCATCACATTGGAATATAAACCAGCTACTGGAACAAACATGGAACATGGTGGAAGAGAGCACACAGGTGGAAATATTCTCCCACAACCCCAGTCTCAGATCTGTTTCACAGCCTCTTCTCTCTCTGTCCCGCAATCAAATGTTGGCTTTAAAGTCGCCACACAACATGGGGCTGTGGAGCAGTCTGACATGGATTCACTTGTGCATGCAAGTCAAGGCAGCCATATACCTCCGCCAGGTGCTGCAGAACAAACAGGTGGTCACCAGGGCTCAAAATCGTCTCCACTCCCTTTACCCCCATCTGTCAACAGAGAGATTAAACAAAGTGACTTGTCAAAAACACAACCTAAAATCATCAAGGAGGTCTCAGATGATACCAGAGAAATACAGAAAAGACATTCTTTGCCATCACTGGGGACACTGGAGCATGTTGAAGCACTTGTTGAAACTTGTCACAGAGAAACACATCCTCCTCCTTCTGAAATACTTGAGATCCCAAAGGCAAGAGAATTCATTCCTGGATTTTTCACGTCTTCTGGAAAAGGAAGCTCAGTTTCCAGCAGCACAGCTGACAGAGCAGATTGCACCATCCAGAGGAGCTGCAATCCCCTTGAAGGAAAATTGATGGAAAGTAGCAGGAGGGAAGAACAAACTGACACAACCACCTCCTCATCTGATTTCACAATGCTGCCAGAGTGCTCTTCTGCACAGAATTCCTCAAAATCCTCTGCCGACCCTCATCTGTTTGACACAGACCTAGTGGTGTCGCTTGCAGAAACATCTCTTTCTTCTCATCAAATCCCCACAACAGAGGTGCCACTGATTGCTGAGCTTGTGCATTCATCTAATGCTCAAGAAATTGTGGTTGTCAGAGAAGAGGCTCATATCAGTGGTGCCTGGTCTAACATGCACCTGAATCAGAGTTACCTCCTACAACGAGAAGATGGCAGCGTCTGTGAAGCTGCCATCGTCAGCGAGCTGAGTTCTGGACTCTCTGCTGGACAACCAGCTATTGAGTTGGACTCACAGCCAGTAGAGGTGTACGAGTTCTGCGGCCTGGTGGAGGAGGTTGCGGAGGAAACCGTGTGTGTTGGAAGTAGCACACAGATACCACACTCTCCAGGATATGAGGTGAATTTATTCAATGCGTTACTAGAAAACCCTGATGAGTACACTGTCAAAGAGGACCTAGAGTCACGTGCTGAACCATCTAATCACACCGTTAATGCAAGTGACACTGTCATAATTTCCCAGCAGCCCTTCTCTTCACCACACAGTGCAAATCTAACACAGGCTTGCTCTAACAATAATTCCCATAATTTGTCCATACAAAACACAGGGGTGGCTGCTGTCGGGCAGCATTTGGTCTTAGATGTTAACCCAAATATTAAAGCAGCAAACTCAAGTGAGGTTTGTGTAGTTAAAATAGCTGCTGTCACATCTGACTCATTCACTGTTGAACAGACTGACACCAGTGCACAACTTGTGACATCTTGTTTGCAGGTCAGTGCAGCACTTTTAGGCCAAGCAGAGGTGATTAAATCTCCTGTAACAGTTCTCCAAAAACAGGAAGCTAAGGCTGGTTCAGTATGTGTCGTATCCCCAGTTGGTTCTGGTGAGGAGATGGGATTGGAATCGTCCACTGCTGATTCAGTGTGTGTTTCCAAACTGGAAAATCAACCCACATTAAATCAGTCCCCAGCCGTCGCTGTTGTAAGTACCACCATGCCAGAGGCCTGTGTTTCTTCATATGAAGGAACCAAAGAAACCCCTGCTTTGACAGAGACTCCAACACAGAGCAAGAATGTTGCTGTGCTTACGCAAACCAAATCGGAGTCTTTCCACACCACTCACCACTCTGGTATTATAAATCCAAAACTGCTGCTTCTTAAACCGGGAGAAACTCCTCTCCTGAAACACCCACCCTCCCTTATGGCACAGGTGTCCAAGCAGCAGAATGTGGCTGGCAAGCTGGGCAGTGCCTGCAGCACTTGGTCTGGCACAATGTCTGAGGAGCGCCTTCCCCAGATTGTCTCAGCGGCAGACTCTTTATGTGTGTCTGTGGCTCTTAGCAGCCAGAGAGCATCTGTCAGCTCCACATGCAAATCTGACAAAGAGGCCTTAACTGTTACTGAAAGTTCAAGTGAAGCGGATCCTGCGTCCCAAGTTGTTGTCACACCTACAGATGCCACCCCACCAACTATGCCTCACAACCTGAATATGCTTACAGCATCAGCAGAAAGGGAATGTGCAGCATCTACCAGTGTCAGTGACTCCATCATCCACCCTGACTCCCTCTATGTGGAGGAAGAGGGTGAGGACATGGAGCAGGACGAACCAATGGAAGAAACTGTTGTGCAGGACGTCACCTCAGGGCAGGTTAGCAGCCCAGAGGAAGGCAGTGACGAAGAACCTGACGCAGACAAAACAGAAAATGAGATGACCACCCCCAGCTCACCACTCAAGGTATTTTCACGAAAAATGGGAAATCTGGTAATGAAATCCATTCTATCAAAGACAGAGAAAACTGCAGAGACAGTTAGACAGAAGAGAGAGTTTTGGCAGAGTCATGGACTAAGAGGTAGGCAGACAGTCAGTATAGATATGGAGATAAGTTTCTAAACAACATGACACGCTGAAGCAGTGTGCATCATCATACTAAAGTGATTGAGCGCCAGTCCCAGGCAGTTGTATCAGACTCGGTTAAACAAGGGCACAGCTGAAGTGAAAATAATGTTAATAAGAGTCCAGGTGCTGCTTTGTGATTGTGATGATGCTGAAATGTGTTTATTAGCTATTGTTTATCTTAATATTTTAGGCAAGGTTGATTTTACTTTTATCTTTATAATATACTCAATGCCACAAGAAGAGTTGTTAGGTTCACACTGCGCCCTGTATATTTTTTTTTAACTTATCGCGTCAACAAAACATTTCAGGCAGAGGTGATGTGTCTGTAGTTGTGCTTGTATTTTAGTGTATGACAGTTTTATGAAGTAATTTTGTGAACTTTAACTTAGTCCAGATCCTGAAAAAAAGAAATTAAGAAGATGTGTCTTGGCTGAACACAAAAGCAATATTTGTTATTACACCACCGTTTCTTTATGCTACTATGAGTCATATCAGGTATTTTGGCATATTTTAAATAGTGGCATCATTTTACCATCCTACTGTGGTCCATGTTGATGTAACTCTTGTGAACAGTGTTTTTATTATTTAGTGATATATTTCTTTTGAGTTGGCCGCATGCTAAGCCGTGTGTGTTTTCCAGCATGGACAGAGCAGGACAGACAGAAAGGCACTGTTCCTTAAGGTAAGTGGTGGTTCTCAGACACCCAGATAGACTGCCTTTAACACGGCATTCACGAGCACATCCTAGTTAGGCACTGTCACTGTTCATAACCCGGAGTATTCTGACTTAAAGAGGTTTTTCTTTGACTTCAGTTATTTTATGATTGCAGCTCTGCATACAGAAAATCCAGTGGACGGCCAGTGCATTGTTCTGGAGCATGTCCATTTGCTTCTTCTAAACTCTTGCTCTAACCTAATTCATGAATGTGGCTTTTATCTTAGTGAACTGTACTACTTTCACCTACATCTGTTTGTTTTTTAATAATTTCCACTTCTGATCCTTTGGCTTTTAGGTGCGCCAGTGGATAGCAGACAGGGTCACCTCAAATTCGTCTCCTGTCTCGCCTTCCGCCTCCTCTTCCTACCCAGGTCCCTCGCCCACCAGTGACTGGTCCATACGACGACGGGAGAGGGCCTCACCTCTCCGGGGTCCTCACGGCAAGTTCGTTTCTCCGTCCTCTGTTGGTTCCTACAGTTTGTCCTCTTCCTCGCCTGACCAGGCCACTTCTCAGCGACTACGTGGAGAACGTCACACAGACATAGCAGAGCTGGCTAAACATGTGAGTGAGCCTTAACAACTTCTTTTTGTTTGGCAATAATGGAGAAGCAAGGCAGCGTCATGACACTAGAAGAACTTAAAATGTTTAGTGAATCAGAAAATCAAAATAACTTTTTTAATATTCCATAGGTGGTTGGAGGTGCCACAAAATGCTGCTGCCACTGTGACTGGGATTAGCTGTGCATTCACAGATTATTCTCTGCATTTATGGTGACCTGAGTAGGAAGGCGTCAGAAAGTGAAATCACTTAGACAAATCGCTGTGAACTGTCAAACATTCCTACTTTCCAGCAGAGAAATGAAGCATCCTGAGCAGGGACTTCATTAGTATGTGATCAGACAGGTTTACAGAACCACCTTCTGATTTGTTTTAGGTAATAAGCTATGTGCATATAAAATCATGGTGTTAACCTTTTGTATTTGATGTTTTTGTCCTTGTTCAGTTGGAGAGCTAGAAGTAACACATAATCAACAAACTGTTGCGTTGAAGAGACTTTACACTGCCACTCTGTTCCACCAGCTGTAGTCTAGTGGAGTGATAAGTGACAGTAGGATTTGATTCTGATTCTCAGGGTCACAATTTGGTTCCAAATGATAAAGAGGCATTATTTTTAGGCTCTTGTTAAAGTTAACTGTGTACCAAACCATGCACTCGTCTCTGTAGTTTACTGAAATGCACTGTTAAACATCACTGGCTAAGTGATCATGAATAACGTCTGCCAAACAGTAAAAAGCAGAGACAAGTGTGAGCACAAGGACGGACACCACTGTTTTTATTATCGATTTAATCTGCCAATTTCTTTTCATTGTTTTGACCATTAAACATAAAAAAGTTGTCATAATTTTACTGAAATGAAGATAATGTCTTGTAGTACCTCGTTTTGTCTGACCAAAATTCCTGAATATTCCGATTATGTTGATATATGACAGAGAAATGGCAGGGTTTGCTTTCTGAGAGCCTGAAATCTGCAGAAAGTTGGCATTTTGCACTGTTATTGCTTGACAAATGACTGAAACAACAAATTTTCATGTCAGTTAACTAATTTGTCCTGCCAAGCTAATTAAGTTCTACAGTCCAAAATGTGGCCAAACACGTGACTTTTATAAAGATAAACTGCACAATACCGTCCAGGTGCCACACAGTGCCTTTGCAGCTAAGTTTGTGATCCTTATGTGAATTGATTTATTTATTTTTTTCCTTTCACACCCAAACCAAACTCACAATATCAGAAACACCTTGTCAGTAATAAATGGTTTGGCCATCATGCCTTATAGGAAGCAGACATTGAGCATCGAACCCAGGCGCTGAAGCGAGATGGTTTCTGGTCGATGAAGCGTCTCACCCGCCTGACAGAGCCGTCACGACCCAAAGTTCACTGGGACTACCTGTGTGAGGAGATGCAGTGGCTCTCTGCTGACTTTGCTCAAGAGAGACGCTGGAAGAGAGGGGTGGCCAGAAAGGTAGCTACAGTTAATCATCACAGAGGTTTCCTGTCCACTTCCAGTCAACATCTCACATGCTCACAAACTAATACTACATTAAACAGTTAAGATAAAAAATGTGCTTTTGTTGTAAGCACACATTTCTACTCAGACCTCAGTCTGAAAGGTTACTGAGGTATGCTGTATGTTCTAGATGTTTTCTGATGGTATGCCCTTAGGTGGTACGGATGGTGATGCGACACCATGAGGAGCTGAGGCAGAAGGAAGAAAAAGCAAAGAGAGATGAACATGCTAAAATCAGAAGAGTTGCCTCCTCTATTGCAAAGGAAGTCCGGGCTTTCTGGAGCAGCGTTGAGAAGGTACAGATGATTCAGAAAAAACGAGGAACCAAACTTTGTGGTTCAGTGTTCACCCGTGGATTGTTTTGTTTTTTTGATAGAAATTAAATACACCCCCCAGACCATAAATACTGACTCTACATGAATGGGTTTTGTCCAGGAGCCAGGTGTTTTCTAATGTGTCGTTCTTGTAGCTTTATTATGGCTGGTGCTTTGTTCATAAAGGTGGTGCAGTACAAGCAGCAGTCCAGGCTGGAGGAGAAGAGGAAGAAGGCTTTGGACCTTCAGCTGGACTTCATTGTTGGTCAGACGGAGAAATACTCAGACCTCCTCAGCAAGTCACTGGCACCCACCAGACCTGCTGAAACCATCTCTCTGACTCCCCAGAAGTCTCTCCCACTTCCCATTGATGAGGATGGTAAGAAGTTGTTTTTTGTTTTTTTTTTAATAAATAGCGCTTATTCTCTCCATGTTGTAGCACTGAAAGTGCTTTCAGTGCTGATTGGCTGGTTCACACAGGGATGTTGTCATAGCTACACACAAATAACTGAATCTTCTTAAGCTTCCACAGAGAAAATGGAAACAAAGCTGTTTTTCATTGTCAAGGTTATTGCATCACTGAGAGAATCAGCCATGTTCTCAGATTTCTGTAAAAGTCCCACCTGGTTATATGAGCTTGACTAAGATAAGTCTAATATTTGTCAGTGCAGTAAAACATTTCTTGGCACAGCACTTGCAGGACACTGTATCTAGCACAGCTTGGCAGTTGTCACGTTTAAGACTTGTTTAACCTGTTGGACTACCCTGCTGTCCGTGCCACCAGTGGCAGCTATTTCCTTCAGCACGGGGGTGAACAGTGACTTCATTTTGAGAGTTTGCTCAGTCAGAAGGAGGATAGACTTGGCAGGGGTTCATTTGTTAGTGTCAATAGTCTGGTCCGACCTTCATTTTATTGTCTGGCATGCTTTTGTGGTGCCAAAGTGCAAACATGGTCTCATTAGTCATCAAGCACTTCTGTCACTGAAACCCAAGCTTAGATTTGCTTGAGAATGTCTTCTAACTGAATCAAATGACTTTCTTTCTTGAATTCAAAACCTTCAGCTGAAACCTTGCAGTTGATGTGGCACCTTATAAACCCAGCCATCTGGGATACAAGACATATCACAGATCTTTTTATTTGGAAATACCTTTTGATTTCCTCAATTTATATCAATGCAGTCAGAAATGAAGTGGTTTTTCAGTACAAAACTATTCCCTTTTCTTTATGCAGACAGGGACTTTGAGCCTCCATGTGAGGAGGAGGATGATGAGGAGACAATAGAGGTGGAGGAGCAGCAGGAGGGCAACGATGCAGAGAGCCATCGGAGGGAAATTGAACTGTTAAAGGAAGAGGGCCTGCTGCCCCTGGACAAGTTACTGAGCACCCTCAAACTGCCACAGGTACCTCTGCTGTTGCCGTCACAAGTTCTTATTTAAACCTCTACAGTAAACTGCAGGCTTGACGTCATTACCAACTGCCTTTTGTTTTTAAACAACTTGCAGACTTAACATGAAAAAAATCACACAGGCGTTTAAACAGTTCAAACCATTTTTAGGCCACAAATTTGTAATTGAAAACAAAGGTGAACACAGTCACTCAAACTGTCCACTGTAAATATCCATTAGAGATGTGCTGCCATCCAGTTGTCATGCTATGATCATTGTGTTATTGTGACATTCCTGAAATACTGCTATTGCCAAAATATAAAGTTACTTCACTCAGTCACTGCAGTGGACTCACCTAACAAACTTGGCAAAGACCTGGACTGTGCAAAAGAGCGTACAAATCCCCTAAAACACCAGAAACAACATTAGGTTGGCTCTTTAAAGTTTAAGATAGTTGACTGGGAATAACTTTAAATGCAGTACCGTGTCTGTGTCTCTAAGACTCTACAGTATGTGTCTGTTCATGTTTTCATACATTCCCATTTTTTAAAATTTGATGTTAAAAGTTGAAAGAACCAGTTTCACTCATTTTATGTGCAGCGTTTCAGTCCTCAGACCTTCATACTTTAAAACTGATGAACCAAGATTTTGCGAACATAATGTTTTCAGTCAGGAGTTTCTGACTACAGATACACTGGCACGTCTCTAACGTCCATTACTGTACCTACTGTACATGTGTTAACATGAACATGTAGATGATGGCTTGTCTTCTCTTTCTTTTTTCACCTTCAAATTATTATTCACCTAATGTTATTAAACTGGTGTTAATGCTATTATTTTTAAGACTGGTTGTAACTCAAAACAGAGGATGATTTTACTTTAGCAACTTCAGATACTCTAATCATAGACAAAACAAAAAGAAACTTACTGAGAGTCTTGCCAGAAAAATATTAATAATTTTTTCAATAAATGACAGAACTAAGACTTTAGATGTTGTTATTAATTTAAAAAAGCAAATTGTATTTCTGGCAGGATACGCTTATGACTGGTTTGTGGCATATGTGTTTTCTAAGAGGCCATGAACATTCTATGAAGTACTGTTACATTTGAAAATACAAATAAATTGTTATGGCTGAATTAATATGGTCATTTAATCATTGAAACCCTGAATTATATAGGACACGGGCTTCGAGGAAGAAAGCTCTGAAGAAACATCTTCATCAGTGGAGGAGGAAGAGGAAGATGGGGAATTCACTGCTAATGAAGAGGATGGTAAGATGTGGGGGAAAATGTTCTGGTACACACTTCAGGTATACACATCTTGGAAACTGAGATAAAATATTGCATCAGTATTTATTTTGAATTCCTTGAAATTACATATTTTTGGTCTATTAGTGATTTACAGCCTGTTTTTCTGCTCTTCAGCTGAGGATGAGGAGGAGACCATAGCAGCCCAGGAGAAGGTAGAAGGGAATGTAGATCACGCACAGGAACTGGGCGACTTGGCTAGAGAAGGTAGGTGCTTTTTTCACACTGATGCATGAAATGGAAGGTGCACTTGCTTATGTTGAGTAGAATTTAGTTGTTAATTTGTGTAGGGATTTAAAATGCTGTTCACTTGGTTGAAGAGAAATCAGCTCAATGTCATCTTAAATTCTGTGTAAAAGTCTCAACGCTACATGTACATCGTGCTTTAAGGACACTAAATTCAGATAAGCCAGAACCAGTGTATAAAAAAGTTGGCGAATCTTAAGAACAATACAATAAATGTCTTACAAAGCATTTACTCCATAGTACTGGAGAAACTTTGAGATGAGAAATTAAACAGCCATTCCAGTTTTTCATGATCTAAATGATATTTCAAGGTTTATTCAAGACATTTATAGTTAAAAGTACCGCCTCACAAACAATTGTGCAAAGTAGACAGATTTGAAAGTTCCCCAGTACAGATGTTCTTTGTGCACTTATACTGAATTTCTGTTTTAATGTAGATGTGTCAGAACGCTGCATGTCACAGGAGCAGTAAACCTCTGTGCTGACATGTCTCTGTGTCTCTTGTAGGTGATATGAGTATCGAGGAGCTGCTGGAGAAGTACAAAGGAGCATATGCCTCTGACTTTGAGGCACCTTCTGCATCTGGCTCCAAAGCAAGCTCTGATTCGGAGGTGTCTGGGGACGAGGAGGAGGAGAGTGAAGAAGATGAAAGCGATGTGGAAAGCAATACTTCCTCCTCAGGTATTAACCTGCTCACAGGGAATCAAAATAATCTCATGTGAATTGTTTATGTGCTGAAACACTGACAAAACAAAGTTGCAACTTTGACTGGTTTAATACATGCTGCCTACATTATGTCCTCCCTCAGAGTCACCAGGAGACAGTGCAGAGGATGATGAGAGTGAGGAAGAAGAAGATGATGATGATGATGATGATGAGTGTGGAGATGAAGGAATGGAGGTTTTGCTAAAGGAGGGAGATAACAGCCCATCTTCGTCTAGTTCAAGGCCAAAAAAAGAAATCAGCCACATTGCTGCTACTGCAGAAAGTCTGCAGCCTAAAGGCTACACTTTGGCTACTACGAAGGTCAGTCTTCAATATTGAGAACAGTAGTTTGTTGTAACCTAAAATTTCCACAATTCAAGATATAATAAATAGATTGTAAAGTATAAATATGTTCTGAGTTTGTCACGTCACAGAAAGATGTAATTAACCACCCAGTCAAATTAAATGATTAAACATATTGGCAAGTTTAGGAAATTAGCTTTAAAAATCATGGAGAAATAAGGAGTATTCTCTGCTCTGAAATGCTGGCGGTGTGTCAGGTGAAGACATGCTGAAAACTAATCGCAGAAATGTGCCATCTGTTCTCGTCACGGATGTATTAACGGAAGAAAGATGCATTTCAGTTTTTGGGGGAGGCCTTGTGTTAAGGATGGCTTCAGTGTGTCATCGAGCGATGCTTTCTTCCCCGACCAAAAAGTGATGAAAGGGTCTAACTCCACAATTCAGCGCTACATAGTTTTCAGTCTTTTCATATGTTTTCAGAAACTATTTTCTAACATGTATAATGTGTTTAGAAACAAATCACTAATTTTGCTTTTTCATCTTTATTTCCACTAAAAGGTCAAGACTCCCATTCCATTCCTGCAAACGAGAATACCAGCACATTGGACTCGACTGGTTGGTCACTATGTACGAGAAAAAGCTCAACGGCATTTTGGCTGATGAGATGGGTTTGGGCAAGACCATCCAGACTATTGCTCTGCTAGCTCACCTCGCCTGTGAAAAAGGTAACAGACAAACTCAGTATGTTTTTAGTAACACTTATATATTTTTACAATGCTGGGTAAGACTGCTGACCAGGCTTTGAGTCCTGACCAGCATGTAAATTGTTTAGTTTGTTCCAGTTCCTACCAGTTGAGGAATGTCAGGCCCATTGTGTTCTAGCTGACATGGAGATGATTCTTCATGCTTTCATTTCATCTCATTTTGACTACTGTAACTCCCCTTTCACCTGCCTTAGAAAGATATCCCTGGGTCAATTACAGGTGGATCACAATACTGCTGCTAAGCTTGTGACAAATTCCTCCCAAAAGTCTCATCTAACACCTATTTTGATTTCTTTACATTGGCTTCTTGTATAGCGCTTTTCTCTGCATTGCAGCACACTCAAAGCGCTTTCACACTATTTGGACATTCATCCATTTGTACTCACATTCACGCACAGGTGTCATCACCGGGAGCAACTGGGGGTTCAGTGTCTTGCTCAAGGACACTTCAACATGTGGGCTGGACAAGCCAGGAATCAAATTGTTGATCTTCTGGTTAGGAGACAACCCGGAGAACAAGGTTAAGCAGCTTACCCCACCCTCATTACCACCACCGTGGTGTCCTTGAGCAAGGCACTTAACCTCCAGTGCTCTAGAGTAGCTGCTCAGTGTCCCACAGGTCAGCCTGTGGTTGTACTGATAGGTCCAGGTGTGAATGTGATCAGGTTGTTCCCGCCAGGTGTGAATGTGATCAGGGTGTTCCCACAAAAGAGAAGTGGCCTCTCAGTGAAACTACCCAGGCTCAAGACAAAAGGAGGCAAAGGCGGTTGCAGGTGTTAATCTTACGAATTAAGATCTGTGGAAACTGTGGGCATCTTTAAAAAGCAGCGTAAAAACTTTGTTTTATATGATTCTTGTCCTAACAGGGAAGCATTTTATGATAGCTGTTCTTAAAAGGTGCTGTTTAAATGAACTTCACTGGTATATTTCACTTCAGTTCCTAGTGAATGTCCTTTGCTTCTCATAGTTTTATTCGGTTACTGAACTCGGCTTCTTTTCTACTGCTGATATTTTGTCATTTTTCCTTTTTTTTTCAGGTAACTGGGGCCCTCACCTCATCATTGTTCCCACCAGTGTGATGTTGAACTGGGAGATGGAGCTGAAGCGCTGGTGTCCTGGGTTTAAAATCCTCACCTACTTTGGCAGCCAAAAGGAGAGGAAGCTAAAGAGACAGGTAATGAGTTCACTGGTTCTGGAGTGTTTTCTCCAGTGAGTAGTAGCTGATCTGACATATAGTGATTTTCTAAAATGGCCAATTATATGAAAAGGTCTGTATTGAAAAATATAGATTAAACCATACCGTTTTTTTTTCCTCATCTTTTCTCAGGGGTGGACAAAGCCTAATGCTTTCCACGTGTGCATCACTTCTTACAAGCTGGTGCTGCAGGATCACCAAGCTTTCCGACGCAAGTCTTGGCGGTATCTGATCCTAGACGAGGCACAAAACATCAAGACCTTCAAGTCCCAGCGCTGGCAAAGCCTG